TTCTGAAAAATAAGAATAGAGGTATACCAATAGCTTTCATCCCAATTTGCTACAACATAATTTACAAATATCAGACTGTCAATGTGGCATCAGATAAACAAAAAAGAAGAAAGCTTTAAAATTATCACAGTTGCAGAATCCTTCAAAACAGTAGAGGATATGAAAGAAGGTTCCATTTTTTTTATGACTGGTAAAATATTAGTGAGAGAGAAGAGGAAACACACAAGTTCTCTTATTTTCACAGCAGGTAGGAAAAAAACCCTGCAGGTGTTTCAGGTGCTTCAGCCAACCGTGAAACATGCAGCAGAATCTAAGAAAAATATCCTGCCAGGGAGTAGCTTACATGCCCTTTCACCATTCCTCATACGTAATTGCTAGTATCACTACTTGCACTAATCAAAGCCCTGGCTCCTCATTTCAGAAAGCATCCTTTTTTCACTCTCCCCAGCTATTCAGCATCAATCTCTATTTAGCATCTTCGTGAGGCATACAATTTAGCTTTTTTTAGCATCAACTGGCATTCTTTCGTGAAAAAGCCGCCTCTGTGACTTAGAATATGCCACTTAAATAAAGTAGTCTAAACCAGAATATCTGATTTACACTTCTGCACTTTCGTGCACCTATACTCCAATGCTTAGTACTTAAAATGTGGGTTATTTCCAAGGGTCACATTTCTGAAATTGTAGTCGACTGAACTGCTCCCCAGTGCCACTTGAAACATACATTCTAAAGAAACATCAAGATAAAGGTGACCAACAGACAATGAAGTGCAAATAGAGTATCTAGACAACAGCATTGCCAGCAAATGGTCAGCGACTGTTACATCCCTACCACTGACAAATTTCAGAAGAACCAGTTAACCAAATAGTAGCAATGACGACTTTATGTATCGCTTCCTATCATCTCGCAAGGCTCTCGCTACCATTCTGCACACCAGAAGCTCACTCTGACTCCGCTTTATGATGAGCTATGTGAAGACAAACCATTTTCATTGTTGGTAATAGCTGAACCCCAGCCTAGCACTGCTGTAGAAGTTTTAATTCCGACTCTCACAGACTACAAGACATTTACATTAATGAGAGAAAAGGCATAGGAACCCACATGACTTCTTCAGCAAACTGCAATCATTGCCTTAATGTTACAGTGCTTTATGTGCACCCTCATCTTGAAACACTCTAGGACAGAGCATATTCCACATCACCACAATGACACTGAGTTTTCCATTCAATACCCTTCTATATTAAAAGATCAGCACCCAATCATATGGAGAAGAGGAATTAAACTTTTTATACAAAACTTACTCAAATAAACACAGCATTTCTGAAAGGAATCAGAAGACACATGACTTTCTTGTTCCTGGGCTTCAAGGGAGAAGCTCTGCCTTATTCTTTTGTCTCTTTTTAAAAGTATACAATTGGCCTTTTCACAACTGCCTCTCCAGTATCATAAAATATTGTGTTGCTAGACAAATACAAAACCTGCAATTCTTCCCCTAAATTTCGGCTTGGATTTGTAGCACTGGATGCTAATAACTATTCTTCACTGGATTCAACAATGTAAATTTTACAACTAGACATGGTTTTGGATTTTTTTAAGCTACTAAACTGCCCTAAGTAGGTTTTACCATTGTTAACCTTCTACATGGCTGTAGTCCAAAACTGCAGGTGCCAGTCTCAGCAACTTACAAAGTACAAGTAGTTTCCAATGATTTGACCAAAGCATGCATGGCTTATGCATGAGACATTTTTGGTTTGGTTTTAAATAAAGAGCACGCAAAAAAAACCCAGCAAGGGCAGCATCGTGGACAGCAAGACTTAACAAAGCTCATACATGGAGAGATGTGTGTCTGCACATGACTAAAGACATTCAGAAACTTTAAATGAACAAAATGTTGTGTTTAGTTGAACTAGATCAGTGAATTACTAATGCAGTTTTTAAAGAAATAAGCATCTAGGCTGAATTTGCCCTTTAAAACTTAAATAAATGTCCTTTCAAGATTCCTGTTATTCAAAACTTAAAGATGCAGTTAAGGTGGCTAAACAAAGTATCACTTCAAATATCCAGTTTATCTTGTATTTAAAACTAATTAGCGATCTCCATTTCCCCTAAAATAAATTCTAGTCCTACAACTATTTACATGTCTGTAAAACTACTTACATTTTTTCTAGATTCATACCAAAATAAATTAAAAAATAATTAAATGTGTTTCAGAATTAAAGCATCTGTCGGGTCTCCTTTCACATTTGCCTGCATACATTCTTCACACCATAAAGTCCAAAATAATTTGGAAATTCAAAGCTTGCCACTGCAAAAAGGACAAGTGCCTCAAGAAAACTCAAGGGAGTATAGCACCCAAAACCAACTTCACGTACAGTACCCAAAACCAAAGTGAGAATGGCTAGACTTGAAGCTAACAGCAAGACTTTTTAACACTGAACTGACTATATAACAAATACTGAGTTTTATTTAAATAAATATGCAATTAAACCATCACCATCTGAGTGCTGCAAGTGTGACGGTACATGTGCTTGCCTCTAGTTCATTTCAATTCCTTTTTAACAAAACACATTTTATAGAACGTATAAAGAATTTGAAACATTTCAGTCATTTTCTTCTGTCAAGACCTATTCTTGACTTTGATGTGCTTTTCAGAAAAAAACTCAGGGCCTGAGCTGAGGTCTAGAGGAAAATGATTCTGCAATGGTTAGCCTTCATGATGTCAACTGTAGCAAATGATAAACTGTGTGGTATAAAACATTGCCAATTACCTCAATGGTATACTAAGTCAGTTGTATAATATTGTATTTTTCAGTTGCCAAGGAGTTTTAATCAAATAGTAAAGCATCAACCATTACATGAAAACAATACTGAGTGTGCTTTATTTAGGAGTGTGATCATTTCTCATCTTTAAATTTAATCTTTCCCAGGACTTTAAATGTTAGGGCTAATTTTATATATATGATTAGGTACAGCACTGACAATGCCACAGATCATAGCTAGACATGGAACAGCTTTCCACAATAGCTGGCATTATATGCAGTAGTCAGAGTTCAAATAAACTTCAGACATTTCTTTCTAATCAAATTAATGATGAGCCTATGTCAATCACTTCAATTCTGACTGTCATATAGGATAGCTATAATACAGGATATTGCTCAGCTCACACACACATTTGGAGTAAGCTATACTACCTAGATGGACAGCTGCCTTTATTTAAGCTTCACGGCAGAATCCAAACACAACTCCTTCCTTTAAAAAACAAACAAACAAAAAGAAACAAAAACAACCCCGGAAGTACCCAACCTGCAGACATAAGTGTTTAAGTGTATTTGGAACGTTCTTTCTGAAGTGTCATCTGGATTTCACCAGTAAGTTACATAAACCACTGTAAAATTATTAACTGAATACAAACTGCGTAAGAGAAAGTATGGTAAAAGTTTTTCTACAATTTAGTGTATTCCATCTGCTGCTAAATTTAATTTACATCCATTTTAAGCCAAAAATCTCTAGAACAGAACTCCGACGTCATTTCTGGAGTATAACATGACCTTAAAAATAATATAAACAAAGGTTTTTTTAGAAGTGAAGTACAAATATTTTGTAAGGTAATCAAAAGCATTTAAGTATAGCACAAACTACAATCTAGGGATTAATACACTTCAGCTACTTCAAATATTTATTAATCATTTCACAGTTCTAAAATGCAAAATGTGTATAGGCCAGTTAGACCAGAGACAATGATGGAAAGTTAAGTTAAAGTCAAGTTCTGCACTGGGTACAAAGGTGGCTAGCAATGACACTCAGGATTCCCCAAACGTAGCAAGTTTTGTACCATTTACTTCCAGGATCAGGGGCTTAGTCACAACATCTTTAAAACCTTCCTATCAGTGTAGCCCAGCATTCAAATACAGAGACAGAAGCTAAAACAAAACTGAAAGAGAAGTCATAAAAACAAGCCTATTCTTAGGTGCTGTCTGTTTATACCATAGGTGATAAGTTGGCTAAAATGTCATTGCCTGATCTTATGCATTTTATTTTCTGACAACCCAAAGTTTACTGTTTTTCAAGCATTCAGAAGATGTAAGGCATATTCTAATGCTCTCCAATACAGTTCTCACCTAAAGTCTTCAGAGTTAATTATTTTTACAGTACTCATACCTGAGCACTCAGCAAGTCAGTCAGAAGCTGTTTTTCAATATGAAAGTAAAGACTTTTGCTCACACTAGTAGGTATATAGGAGAAAAAGGTTCTAATCTACTTATGTTCTTCTGTTCTTGTGACTAGACTCTTCCTTTTCCCTACTTAACGATATAGCAAATAAGCCAATCAAAAATAAAATGGAGAAAAAAAAAAACAGTTTCCAGGATTTATTTTTCTTCTAGTGGCCACAATGTGATTTCTTCCACTTAAGAATTCAAATTGCATAAAGTGCAACACCTAGAATTGCCTATCAGTTACGGCTGTTCAGCTGCTCCTGAGTTATTAGAAAGTACCTGCCCATTTTAAAAACCTATCTTATCGTGGCTTGTAGAAACAACATGGTTGGCACATTGTTCCACTACAAATCAAATTAACACTTTAAAAACCCAAACCAGCACTGTACTACTTAAAATCGTTAAAACGGTACTACATCCCCACTGGGGGTAGCAAGAGGGCAACACGGAGCTCCAATATGTAAGCAGTCTGTAGAAGTATACATTGTAAACAGAGCTGATACTTTCTACAGTTAATATAAGTAAAAAGCTATTTTTTTAAAACAAATTATTTCCTATAAGGGAAATACTATTTATTTCCCTTGCTCTCACATTAACTTAAAAATCCAAATGATACAAACTCTCGCAACGAAGAGGAACAAAGCGGCCCTGCCACAAGAACTACTCTGCAATAAAATAAACATTAACGACTGGCACAAAAGAGAAGCCAGATGCCGTATCAATACCTGAGCCCGTAAGCGTGCGTTTGTGGGTGCTGTAGCCCACTCTCTAGCTTTGGCGCAGTACCTGAGCCCTATGCAGCACGCAGGAAATGTCCACTTCCATCCTGACCACAGCGAATATGCTATTCTCAAACACGGAGAGAAGCCTCCAGGCCTTTGCATTCCCGTCCCTAGATTTAAAAAAATACCTCCACGAGGTGCTAAAGCGCGCACTGGCGGGGTGCGGGCCGGCAGGTAACTAAGCGAGGAGGCAGAGGGTGGCAGAAGAGGCGCGGGACGCGGGGGAGGAGGCAGACCCCCCACCCGG